TCCAATGTGCTCAGAGTTTTTTGTCCACTGTCCCCTTTTTCGGGTGTCTCTCTTCATGTCCTCCTGGTTTCCTCGTTTCTCCGGAGGTGTGGATCAGAGGCTAGTGGGTGGCCCTTTCCTCTGTGCCTAACATCCATCTATGAGTGAGTACTTCGAAGGCTTGTCTCTCTGTGGCTGCTGCTTTGCCTCAGTCGGGACAGGTTTCTTGCAGTGCCCTCCGTTTGCCTTGGTAATTCCAGCTTCCACTGTTTTGTCCTGCTGAGTAACCCAACTCCTTTGTGTAGAGATACCACATTTTCAACATGCATTCGTGGGCTGAGGGCATCTGTCTAGATGGCTTCCATGTCTGGCCATTTCAAACAAAGCTGCTAGGAACACAGGTGAACGTATGTGCTTCCGTCCGGATGTGCATCCTTGGGGTATTTGCCAGGCAGTGTAATTGCCGGATCTTGAGGTAGACTGATTCCTGTTTTCCTGACAACAATTGGCCGCATCATTTTGAGCTCCCCACTCAACGATGGAGGGTGTTCCTCTTTCTCCACACCCTCTGCAGCACTGGCTGTCAATTTTGTTTTTGTTTTTTATTTTAACCTTTCTGATAGGATCACCAAGGTATCTCAGAGTTGTTTGATGGGCATTTCCCCTGAAGGCTAAGGAGGTTGATCACTTTCTCAAATGTCTTTTGCCTTTTGGGGACTCTATATTGAGAATTCTCCAGTTATTTCTGTTCCCTTCCTTTCAATTGGATCATTTGGTGTTTTGGTGACAAGCATCTTGTGTTCTTCGTGTATTTTGGAGATCAGCGCTCTGTCACATGCGGGGTTGGTGAAGATCAACTTTGACTTTATGTTTCTCAGGATCTGATGGCCCAACCTGTGGCTTCCTTTAACTTCCTTGTAAGGAGCTCACTGGTGCAACGGTAACTAGTGGCTGAAAACGCTCATCCGGCTCCTGACGATAATGTTCATCAAGGACTGTGACTATATCCCGGTGGAGACCTCCGTAGTCTGGTGAGTAGAGCGTGGTCAAGCCACCAGGCATATGTATGGCTCACGGTTGCCAAAAAAAAACCTAAGCCCAGCTTCCGTGCTGGTGGCACTTTCTCTAATGCTAGTAGGCTTTCTAGGGTGTTAACAAGGCCCGAGAGTTCTTGCTCAGAGGGAAGGGAAGGGAAGGCCGGGCGATCTTGTATACTGTGGCATCAGCTGGGCCAATATTTATTCCTTTGTCACTCTTAGACCATAGAGAAAAAATACTTAGTTAATGATTTTTCTGTTGTTGTTGTTGTTGTTGTTGTTGTTGTTGTTGAGACACAAGAAAGATGGCACGTGAGGAAGGGGGCATACTGTAGTGAAATCCTCATCGTCAGAAGCTTACGATGCAAGTGGTGAGATGGGTAAACATACAGAAGGCGCCTTGCACATTCGTGTTTCCCCAACAAACGGGGACCTCAATACAAGGTGTTTCAATAAATGCAGTGACAGATAGTTTGGGAAAGTTTGAAACAAGATGACTAGCCTGCCCCCAATCAAACAGGAAGAAAAAAAAATGTTTCTCAAGGCCTGCAAGCTAAGGCATGTGCTCAGAAATCATAGACATATGAAAAGGAATGTTTCTGGGAACTGCCCATGCTCTCAGGTATGGTGGAATATCGCTAGTGAGTGAGCCGCACGCCATTATGAATCCCACGGGACACTATCATGTTGAAGAAGGAGTAGAGCATAAAAGTGAATGACAAGGGAGGAGCCTGGATTAATTCAAGTAGTATTAGTTGTTAGCCTGCCTCGCTTTGAAGAAGGTGAGGCTTGATATTACTGTTACTTTGCTTGGCTTGCAAAGAAGTTGACTCCTCGCAGTAACTATGGTGCAAACTGTCATGAGAACATTGGCGGGGAGGCCATAGCGAGCATACTCCAAGGAGCTGATGTAATCAATGTGTGGCATCCGCGATGACTAGTGAGGGGTTCGGCGTGGATGCCTACATATGAGGTTTGGTGAACGTGGCTGTTAGACTTGGGGGTGTAGCTCAGCGGGAGAGCACGTATTTAGCATATATGAGGTCCCGGGTTCGAGCCCCGGCATCTCCAAGGGTAACACTTTTAAACCTTGACTTTTCTTCTCTCCTTTCTGTAGTAATGACTTTTACCTAGAAGCAAACTGAGTTTACATATCAGTCCCACCAGCGAGCCCTCTCCGTCCCATCCTGCCAGGCCTCCCACCGACCCGAACCAACCCAGACCCACCCACTCCCCAAGGATAGTAGCCCTTCCGTGGGAGATGATCATCAACGTCTGTCTTACCACTTGGGAGAGGGCCTAGGCCCTCCTCCGCCTCCCTGGGCTCAAAGGGTATCTGCCCAGAGGGAAGGGGCTCCCAAAGTCCATTCCTGCCCTCGCGGGAAATGCCGCTCCCCTCCCTTAGAGGTCCCATAGAATGGCCAGGCCTCCTACATGACATCCACAGGCTGAGTGCTTGGCTCGGTCCATTGCTGCTTTCCCGGCGTTGCAACTGGGTTCCTCCCTGTGCTCTGACTTACTTGCTCGAGGCAGCTCTTTCTGTAGGATATCCTGGCCAGGTCTTGCTTGCTTTCCTCGGGCCACCTGCCCCCATCACCTGCAACAACTCTATTCCAGGAGGATGGCTCAGAGCTTAGCTGGGCCTGTCTGCTTCTCCCTTCCATCAGCTACTGGGTGAAGGCTCTGCGATGGCAATTGTGGGAAGCCATCGGTCTCACGAGGACAGAAGGCCATCAATGCGGCCTCTGCACTAATGCCCAGATACTAAGTCGTGACCATCTTTGTGCATCTCTGAACTTCGCCCTAGTGCCATTCTTCTCTTAAAACCTTAGCTGGCTCCCTCTGTTAAGGTATCTCCTTCCCTGCTCTGCTCTGCTCTGCTCTGCTCTGCTCTGCTATGTCCATCCCCTCATTCAGGCTGTCTCAACCATGTCCTTCTGTGCCCCTCCTCTGCCCTGTTTCACTTTCTCCTCTCCCCCAGGCTTCCAATGTGCTCAGAGTTTTTTGTCCACTGTCCCCTTTTTCGGGTGTCTCTCTTCATGTCCTCCTGGTTTCCTCGTTTCTCCGGAGGTGTGGATCAGAGGCTAGTGGGTGGCCCTTTCCTCTGTGCCTAACATCCATCTATGAGTGAGTACTTCGAAGGCTTGTCTCTCTGTGGCTGCTGCTTTGCCTCAGTCGGGACAGGTTTCTTGCAGTGCCCTCCGTTTGCCTTGGTAATTCCAGCTTCCACTGTTTTGTCCTGCTGAGTAACCCAACTCCTTTGTGTAGAGATACCACATTTTCAACATGCATTCGTGGGCTGAGGGGCATCTGTCTAGATGGCTTCCATGTCTGGCCATTTCAAACAAAGCTGCTAGGAACACAGGTGAACGTATGTGCTTCCCGTCCGGATGTGCATCCTTGGGGTATTTGCCAGGCAGTGTAATTGCCGGATCTTGAGGTAGACTGATTCCTGTTTTCCTGACAACAATTGGCCGCATCATTTTGAGCTCCCACCAACGATGGAGGGGGTGTTCCTCTTTCTCCACACCCTCTGCAGCACTGGCTGTCAATTTTGTTTTTGTTTTTTATTTTAACCTTTCTGATAGGATCACCAAGGTATCTCAGAGTTGTTTGATGGGCATTTCCCTGAAGGCTAAGGAGGTTGATCACTTTCTCAAATGTCTTTTGCCTTTTGGGACTCTATATTGAGAATTCTCCAGTTATTTCTGTTCCCTTCCTTTCAATTGGATCATTTGGTGTTTTGGTGACAAGCATCTTGTGTTCTTCGTGTATTTTGGAGATCAGCGCTCTGTCACATGCGGGGTTGGTGAAGATCAACTTTGACTTTATGTTTCTCAGGATCTGATGGCCCAACCTGTGGCTTCCTTTAACTTCCTTGTAAGGAGCTCACTGGTGCAACGGTAACTAGTGGCTGAAAACGCTCATCCGGCTCCTGACGATAATGTTCATCAAGGACTGTGACTATATCCCGGTGGAGACCTCCGTAGTCTGGTGAGTAGATCGTGGTCAAGCCACCAGGCATATGTATGGCTCACGGTTGCCAAAAAAAACCTAAGCCCAGCTTCCGTGCTGGTGGCACTTTCTCTAATGCTAGTAGGCTTTCTAGGGTGTTAACAAGGCCCGAGAGTTCTTGCTCAGAGGGAAGGGAAGGGAAGGCCGGGCGATCTTGTATACTGTGGCATCAGCTGGGCCAATATTTATTCCTTTGTCACTCTTGTGACCATAGAGAAAAATACTTAGTTAATGATTTTTCTGTTGTTGTTGTTGTTGTTGAGACACAAGAAAGATGGCACGTGAGGAAGGGGGCATACTGTAGTGAAACTCTCATCGTCAGAAGCTTACGATGCAAGTGGTGAGATGGGTAAACATACAGAAGGCGCCTGCACATTCGTGTTTCCCGAACAAACGGGGACCTCAATACAAGGTGTTTCAATAAATGCAGTGACAGATAGTTTGGGAAAGTTTGAAACAAGATGACTAGCCTGCCCCCAATCAAACAGGAAGAAAAAAAAATGTTTCTCAAGGCCTGCAAGCTAAGGCATGTGCTCAGAAATCATAGACATATGAAAAGGAATGTTTCTGGGAACTGCCCATGCTCTCAGGTATGGTGGAATATCGCTAGTGAGTGAGCCGCACGCCATTATGAATCCCACGGGACACTATCATGTTGAAGAAGGAGTAGAGCATAAAAGTGAATGACAAGGGAGGAGCCTGGATTAATTCAAGTAGTATTAGTTGTTAGCCTGCCTCGTTTTGAAGAAGGTGAGGTTTGATATTACTGTTACTTTGCTTGGCTTGCAAAGAAGTTGACTCCTCGCGCAGTAACTATGGTGCAAACTGTCATGAGAACATTGGCGGGGAGGCCATAGCGAGCATACTCCAAGGAGCTGATGTAATCAATGTGTGGCATCCGCGATGACTAGTGAGGGGTTCGGCGTGGATGCCTACATATGAGGTTTGGTGAACGTGGCTGTTAGACTTGGGGGTGTAGCTCAGCGGGAGAGCACGTATTTAGCATATATGAGGTCCCGGGTTCGAGCCCCGGCATCTCCAAGGGTAACACTTTTAAACCTTGACTTTTCTTCTCTCCTTTCTGTAGTAATGACTTTTACCTAGAAGCAAACTGAGTTTACATATCAGTCCCACCAGCGAGCCCTCTCCGTCCCATCCTGCCAGGCCTCCCACCGACCCGAACCAACCCAGACCCACCCACTCCCCAAGGATAGTAGCCCTTCCGTGGGAGATGATCATCAACGTCTGTCTTACCACTTGGGAGAGGGCCTAGGCCCTCCTCCGCCTCCCTGGGCTCAAAGGGTATCTGCCCAGAGGGAAGGGGCTCCCAAAGTCCATTCCTGCCCTCGCGGGAAATGCCGCTCCCTCCCTTAGAGGTCCCATAGAATGGCCAGGCCTCCTACATGACATCCACAGGCTGAGTGCTTGGCTCGGTCCATTGCTGCTTTCCGGCGTTGCAACTGGGTTCCTCCCTGTGCTCTGACTTACTTGCTCGAGGCAGCTCTTTCTGTAGGATATCCTGGCCAGGTCTTGCTTGCTTTCCTCGGGCCACCTGCCCCCATCACCTGCAACAACTCTATTCCAGGAGGATGGCTCAGAGCTTAGCTGGGCCTGTCTGCTTCTCCTTCCATCAGCTACTGGGTGAAGGCTCTGCGATGGCAATTGTGGGAAGCCATCGGTCTCACGAGGACAGAAGGCCATCAATGCGGCCTCTGCACTAATGCCCAGATACTAAGTCGTGACCATCTTTGTGCATCTCTGAACTTCGCCCTAGTGCCATTCTTCTCTTAAAACCTTAGCTGGCTCCCTCTGTTAAGGTATCTTCCTTCCCTGCTCTGCTCTGCTCTGCTCTGCTCTGCTCTGCTATGTCCATCCCCTCATTCAGGCTGTCTCAACCATGTCCTTCTGTGCCCCTCCTCTGCCCTGTTTCACTTTCTCCTCTCCCCCAGGCTTCCAATGTGCTCAGAGTTTTTTGTCCACTGTCCCCTTTTTCGGGTGTCTCTCTTCATGTCCTCCTGGTTTCCTCGTTTCTCCGGAGGTGTGGATCAGAGGCTAGTGGGTGGCCCTTTCCTCTGTGCCTAACATCCATCTATGAGTGAGTACTTCAAGGCTTGTCTCTCTGTGGCTGCTGCTTTGCCTCAGTCGGGACAGGTTTCTTGCAGTGCCCTCCGTTTGCCTTGGTAATTCCAGCTTCCACTGTTTTGTCCTGCTGAGTAACCCAACTCCTTTGTGTAGAGATACCACATTTTCAACATGCATTCGTGGGCTGAGGGGCATCTGTCTAGATGGCTTCCATGTCTGGCCATTTCAAACAAAGCTGCTAGGAACACAGGTGAACGTATGTGCTTCCGTCCGGATGTGCATCCTTGGGGTATTTGCCAGGCAGTGTAATTGCCGGATCTTGAGGTAGACTGATTCCTGTTTTCCTGACAACAATTGGCCGCATCATTTTGAGCTCCCACCAACGATGGAGGGGTGTTCCTCTTTCTCCACACCCTCTGCAGCACTGGCTGTCAATTTTGTTTTTGTTTTTTATTTTAACCTTTCTGATAGGATCACCAAGGTATCTCAGAGTTGTTTGATGGGCATTTCCCTGAAGGCTAAGGAGGTTGATCACTTTCTCAAATGTCTTTTGCCTTTTGGGACTCTATATTGAGAATTCTCCAGTTATTTCTGTTCCCTTCCTTTCAATTGGATCATTTGGTGTTTTGGTGACAAGCATCTTGTGTTCTTCGTGTATTTTGGAGATCAGCGCTCTGTCACATGCGGGGTTGGTGAAGATCAACTTTGACTTTATGTTTCTCAGGATCTGATGGCCCAACCTGTGGCTTCCTTTAACTTCCTCATAAGGAGCTCACTGGTGCAACGGTAACTAGTGGCTGAAAACGCTCATCCGGCTCCTGACGATAATGTTCATCAAGGACTGTGACTACATCCCGGTGGAGACCTCCGTAGTCTGGTGAGTAGAGCGTGGTCAAGCCACCAGGCATATGTATGGCTCACGGTTGCCAAAAAAAAAAACCTAAGCCCAGCTTCCGTGCTGGTGGCACTTTCTCTAATGCTAGTAGGCTTTCTAGGGTGTTAACAAGGCCCGAGAGTTCTTGCTCAGAGGGAAGGGAAGGGAAGGCCGGGCGATCTTGTATACTGTGGCATCAGCTGGGCCAATATTTATTCCTTTGTCACTCTTGTGACCATAGAGAAAAATACTTAGTTAATGATTTTTCTGTTGTTGTTGTTGTTGTTGTTGTTGTTGTTGTTGAGACACAAGAAAGATGGCAAGTGAGGAAGGGGGCATACTGTAGTGAAACTCTCATCGTCAGAAGCTTACGATGCAAGTGGTGAGATGGGTAAACATACAGAAGGCGCCTGCACATTCGTGTTTCCCGAACAAACGGGGACCTCAATACAAGGTGTTTCAATAAATGCAGTGACAGATAGTTTGGGAAAGTTTGAAACAAGATGACTAGCCTGCCCCCAATCAAACAGGAAGAAAAAAAAATGTTTCTCAAGGCCTGCAAGCTAAGGCATGTGCTCAGAAAACATAGACATATGAAAAGGAAAGTTTCTGGGAACTACCCATGCTCTCAGGTATGATGGAATATCGCTAGTGAGTGAGCCGCACGCCATTATGAATTCCACAGGACACTATCATGTTGAAGCAGGAGTAGAGTATAAAAGTGAATGACAATGGTTAATTGTCAATATCTTTTGCCTTTTGGGACTCTATATTGAGAATTCCTCTGTTATTTCTGTTCCCCACTTTTCAATTGTATCATTTGGTGTTTTGGTGACAAGCATCTTGTGTTCTTTCTGTATTTTGGAGATCAGTTCTCCTTCACATGCGGGGTTGGTGAAAATTAACTTTGAGTTTTTGTTTCTCAGGATCTGATGGCCCAACCTGTGCCCGTCATTAACTTTTGGTTAGGAGCTCACTGTTGCTTCTGTTATTAGTCGAGGAAAATTCTCATCTCCCTTGTGACAACGATGTTTGTCAAGGATTGTTCCTACATTCCAGTGATGATCTCTTTAATCTGGTGAGTAGAATGTGGTCAAGCCACCAGGCATATGTAAGTTTCTAGGATGCAACAAAGAACCTCAGCCCAGCTTTCTTGCTAGTGGCAGATTCTCTAATATGCCCATTTCATGTTGTTAACAAGGGCGAAGAGTTCTTGCTCAGAGGGAACAAAAGGGAAGGCCAGGTGATCTTGTGTACTCTGGTGTGAGTTTTGCCAATATTTATTCCTTTTTCACTCTTGTGACCATAGAGAATATAGTTAGTTAATGATTTTTTGTTGCTTTTGTTGTTTATACATATAAAAGATGGCATGTGAGCGAGGGGGCATACTGTAGTTAAACTCTCATTGTGTGAAGCTTACGGTGCAAGTGGTGAGATGTATAAATGTAGAGAAGGAGAACGCACATTCGTATTTCACAATCAGAAGTTTACGTCAATACAACTTGTTTCAGTACCTGAAGTCACATATAGTGTTGCAATGTTTGAAACAAGATGACTAGCCTTCCCCAAATCAAATAGGAAAATTGTTTTTCAAGGCCTGCAAGCTAAGGCAAGTGTTCAGAAAACATATTTGTATGATCATTAAGGTTTCTGGAAACTTCTCATGCTGTCAGATATGATAGAATATGGCTAGTAAACCACTTGTCATTTTATATTCCACAGGACACTGTCATGTTGAAAAAATAGTACAGGATAAATGTGAATAAAAATGGATGAGCCTGAATTATTTCAAGTAGTATTTATTGTTATCCTGTCTTATTTTAATGAAGGTGAGGTTTCATATTATTATTATTTCGCTTGGCTTGCAAAGAAATTGTTTCCTTGTGCAATAAATGTCATGAAAACATTCAACGGGGGGTTCATGCAGCAGATACGCAATGGAGCTCTAGGATTGCAATTGAGGGAAGTCATCAGTCTCATTATAGGGGAAAGCCATCACATATGTGTGCCCTTTGGTTTGAGCCAAGGCATTTTTGAGTTAGACCTTTTCAAAAATTGAATTTTCTTTTTCTGGATTTATTTGCATGACTGTAACAAGTGTTAACTTTTTTTATTAGGTAGTAATTGCTATGATTATTAATGGATGAAAATGCTCTTCTGTCATGTGACAATAGTGTTCATCTATGGCTCGGTCGACATTTCCATGGAGACCTCTATGAGTCTAGTGAGTAGAATTTTTTTTATGTTTCCATGCACAGGTATTGTTCTTGGATTTCACAAAATGCAAATCTCTGCTTTCATTCTGGTGACAGTTTCTCTAATGAGTGTGCTCCTCAGCGTGATTACAAGGGCAAAGCATTCTTGCTGTGAAAGAAAGGATGGGAAGGCTGGGCTGAGCTATTCCTTTGTACTTTTACACAGGAAGCAGTGTGGTTGTCATAGAAACCTTGTGTTAATATGGCGATTGAGTTTAATGGCCACTCAGCTATGATATGGAAAGGAGCTCTTCTGGTGTTTGGAGTGAGCAAGCTTCCTGTGTTCCTGGAGGTGGAGTACCTGAATCTTTCTGTTGGTGGGGTGGCAGATGCAGGGATCCCACACCCATGTGTTTTTACTTCCACTTCCTGATTTGCAGCCAGTATGTTTCCAGAAGAAGAGACCCCTGGAACCATTCTGCCTCCTCAGTTTGCTGTTCTCTCTGTACCTGGGTTTACTGGAGCCATGGGGGGTGGGGGAGTGGTTGGAGAGAGATAAGTCAGTAGAGTGAGCTCTCCCTGATCCCAGCTTGTGCTCTGTGAAAGGGGAATGAGGTTGTTCCTCCACAGGTTCTGAGGGACATTAAGCAGAAATGCTTAAAGAGCAATCGGTGATTAACCTGCATTTCTAAGATGATCATTTAAATATGCAGGTGGTTAGACATTTTTTCCTTTTTAGTAGTTTTCAATTTAGTTTGGTTTTCAGACAGTGTTTCAAAGTGTCCTACCCTGGCTCATAACTCTCAGTGAATCTCCTGCCTCAGCTGTGGGGATTACAAGTGTGGGACACTGTATCCTTGGCACCAGTTTGTGACTTTAATTTCCTTTAT